TGTGACTTGTTTGATCAATTGATAGTATTGGTAATTTGTACGGGTTGCTGTCAAGTAATTTAACTATTTGGTTAAATATTTGACATGATCAATGCTGATTGTTAGATGTTTATGTGTAATACAAACAACATTTGTATCAAACAAACAAAAGCTAAAACAATTAGTAAAAATCAATATTTCAATCATTAAAAATTTGAAATTTATTTCAAACAGTGAAAAAATCATTTTCAATTTAATTATAATAATGAATCAAATATATGAGCAATGAAATAATGTATGGCGGACTGACTGCACCTCCTCTACACATGGGCTTAAAACTCAAACTAACAGAATTGGCATTCAGCCTCAAGTGTTGAATGCTCTTAAAGTAGAGTTGCCGGGGACACGAGCAAGGCACGCAGCAACGAAAATCGAAGTTTTTAGATTAAAACAACCATTAATAAGCTTTAAGGATGATATATTATAAAAACATATTTCTGGGTTTCAACCATTAGCTTATGTTTTTGGTTAAGTTTGTCCTTTAACATGGTATCAAAGCCAACGTGACATAGAGATCACGGGTTCGAATCTCTCCCACCCCTCCTTCAAATTTCTTCCACGCGAAAGTTTTAGTTGTGCCATGATCAAAGTTGTTATATGAAACATTCAATTACGTTGCTACATAATACGAAGTACAAGATAGTAGTATATAATTATGAACATTACTAAATGCAAGTTTAGACAAGTAGATAAGCATTGAGAATATTTAGGTGTTCAAGTTCTTTTTTCATTTGCTTAGTTAACAGAATCAAAACTAAGAGTTCTGCCTGTACATATATGTATTCTTCAGCTGATCTAATTTAAGACTTTAAAAACAAGCCCATGTCTTATGTACTTATGTGTTAGGTCTGTTAACCTTTGGACTTTGTTTTTGGGCTTATGGTTGTTAATACGAAGTATTGAAATTGTAAAATTTCTTGTTACTTTGTTACTATCATGCCATGCATTTGGGTCAACTAAGCGTTAAGCTTTTTTTTTTTTTTTTTTTTTTTTTTTTTTTTTTTTTTTTTTTTTTTGAGAGAGAGAGAATAAGCGTTAAGCTTTTTCAACCATTTAATTTTGATGAACTAATATTGCCACATTGAACCCTTTTTTTATAGGAAATGTTAGGTAGACATGTTATGATAAATTAAATTTAATTAAATTACAAGACTTTGTGGATACGGACTTATACACACAAACTCCGAGCAACCACGAGTATCCCAATTAGCCATAAGGTGGGCTACCATGCACATTAAACATTGATCCTCCTCGAAAACTGATTTTGACAAGCCAAATATGATTTTAGCATACCCTCTTGTGAGATAGTATTAAAAAAGGGATTTGTTAAACATCGCCCAAATTACTACATAAAGCCCACAAAATTCACTTGGTTTCCCAAATTGCCCTTGACCTTAAAAAAAAACACTCACACTCTCACTCACTCACACTCTCATTGCTCATCTGCTTTCAACCTCTCTAAAAAAAAAAAATCAAAATAACGGCAATGTCGAGGCGGCAAGGCAAGGAAGTGCGCGGCGGCGGCGGAGGGAAGGATGTCCCAAGGAGGAAAGGTATATTTTGTTTAAAAAAAAAAAAAAAAAAGGGGAAAACCGCCGTGAACGCGGTGGGGCGCCCTGGCTGGACGCCCAGCCGGCGGTGGTGGCGCCAGATGCAGACGCCGCCACCAGTTGGCTGGCGCCTGGGCTGGACGCCACCGCCACGGTTGTGGCGTTTAGTCTAGGCGCCGCAGCCGTGGCTGTGGCGTCCAGCCCAGGCGCCAGCCAACTGGTGGCGGCGTCTGCATCTGGCGCCACCACCGCCGGCTGGACGTCCAGCCAAGGCGCCCCCCCCCCATTTTTATTTTTTTTATTTTTTT